GTCGCGTACGTACGGTACGGGGTCGGGGGTCGGGTCCGGTCCGTCGTAGTGTGGTGGTGGGTACGACGCGTCGCGGACGACGACGAGAGAGAGGAGGGGGGGGGGGCCGACCTACACATCTCAGCCAGCCTTTGAGTCTTGCCGATACTCGCGATCGCTGCCGGTACCACCGCAGACACGTTGCGGCTGGGATCATGATCGACGGTCATTCGCCCTGCTCGGCGGCAATACTATTGATGGCGGCGACGGCGGCGGTAGGTATGTAGCGGCTGGCGTCAGGGAGGCTGATATCTGGCCTGCTTCGGCCTTTGGTTCCGAGGCGAGCGGGGCTGTTGACGTTCCTGATCCTCTTACCTTCCCGACCGCCTCTTCGAGGTCTCCAGCTGAAAGCAGCAGCAGCCTCTTCTGGCTATCGTGGACGAGGCACAGAGGCTCCGGCAGTCTCCCACGTGGCGCACACGGGCGGTGCCGGTGTGATCTCGGTACCCCTGCTCGCAACTTGGCAAGGCGTGGTACAGGACGCATACGACATGCAGATGCGTCCACGCTCCGTCCACAGGTTGTTCCCACCCGTGCCTTTCTTGAAGCCTGCGGATCGGCTCGTCGGTCGGAAGAACGTGTAGAGCCGGAAGGGATCCCGAGCAGTGGGCACGGGAAGGCAGCGAGTACCGCACTACGTACCGGGCTGAGGCAGCTTGGCAGGGTGTGTGAGGTACGAGCAAGCCAAGGTCCCTTCCGGTGATGCACGTCCGGTCTGCACGCCGTGCCTGCTCCGCGGCGTGCGTGAGCGCGTCTCTTCTCTCGCCTGGTCACGCCACATCAAGTCACAGGAACACCGACTCGGCTTCGCGGGTGCCTTGCTCGGAACAGAGCCACGCCTCGCACGGCCTTCGATGGCCGAGCCGTACTGCGTGAAAGAAGTTGCGTGCTGCGACACAAGAGTCGTGAGGGTGAGGAGCTGCCGTGGGCAGGCTGAGGTCCGCGCCTTGGTTCCCGCGATGGCTGCGGGCGACGCCAACGACATCCGGCTCGATCCTCCTGCCATGCCATTCTGGCTGCGATGAACATCTAGCGCATCGTTCAGGCGTCACCATGGCGCTGGTCATGCTGGACGAGGCATGAAGTGATGCTCCGGATGACGACAGAAAAGGGGCTGATAGGAGACGGTTGATGACGGACATGTCCGAGCCTCGTCGCCGCCGCGAAAAGGGGCGCGGAAAATGCGAGCGAAAAAAACAGAGACCCGCGATGGGGTTCTCGCCACCCGGATTCGGCCGCTCTCAGCAGCAACGAAGCAGGACTCGACGGGACAGGCGTGGCAGCGAAGGACGCCAGGCTTCTCGAAGGGAGTCGCCATCGACGAAGAGGCTGCTCAAGCGGTTCTGCTCAAGGACAAGCTGCTTGCGGGAGGGAGACGTGGTGAACGAGCTATGATACAGTCGGGGCGGTTAGAGGGATATCAGATTGCGGAGGTGCGGAGCGGAAGGGTTCGCGAGGTCCTGCGGGGGCCAACGAGCCGGCAGTGATTGAAGTCAGCCAGAGCGAGATCCCTGCGCTGTCGGCAGCGGCTGCAAAGCTGTGGACGGGAAGGCGGGTATCGTGGGTGTCGAGCAACGGGGCGGCCTATCGGACTCGCTCAAACGAGCTCGAGCGACCGAGGACAACGACAGAGAAGTCCATGACCTGGAAAGAGCAAAGTGGGCGGGGAAGCGAGCAAAGCGAAGGACGAGTGAGCGAAGCGCACACAGATCAGACACGGTCCCAGGGCGGGGCGCGCCACCTCCGCTGGTGTCGAGCAGTGCGGTGGCGAGGACTGTTCGACTTGCGGGCCGGGGCGTCGACGGAGCGAGGCCTCGAGCTGTCTCTGCAAAGAGAGTCGAGCTCTGTCGCACGCCATCGAGGCAAAGGTCACCGCCACACTACTCACCCATTCGCCAGCCTCGAGGTAGATCCTCATGAGGTTCCTCAGGTCCTTGTTGGGTATCCTCGCGACGGCCGGCGTGAGCCCCGTGCTCCTCTTGATGCCAGAGAGGGCGACGCTGACGAGGACAGCGTCGAAGAGCAGATGGAAGAGTCGGCCGAACATGGCTCCGAGCGTGCCCGACGGAGGTAGATGGGCAGCGGATGCGGCGGGGCGGCGGGATGCGATGAGCGGTGGAGGGCGGCTAGTGCTTCCTGTGTTCCGAGCGACGACGAGCGAAGGACGGAAGAGAGGCAATCGAAGTCGAGAGAATAGGTGGATCGTTCACGAGACAAGAGTTCAAGAACGCCCTTGATGCGATGATGCGATGGCGATGGGTTGATTGAGGATGATGGTGGTGGATGGTGTCGAGCAAAGCGGCGGACCCTTTGGCTGGCCTGCCGGCCCCAGCGTGGAGGCCCGCGCGCGCAACACACACGCCCCATCCGAAAAAATCGAGCCAGCAGGAGAGCGCCCAGGTCGCGCGACGACAGACGAGCCAGCTCATCGCTGTCCTGCCGCCACACCATCGCATCGCATCGCCTCGACTCGATCCGGCCGGCCAGCATGACGGGGCTCACGAACAGCAAGACGGCAGGCAGACCGGTCCCGCCAGTAGCTGGCGGCGGTCAGCACCTAGCTCAGAGGCTTACGCCCTAGCGCCCCTCGACGAGGGAGGGCGCAGCGCCGCCAGGAGCAGGTGAGCCCGTCCCACGCCTTCGGCGTGATGCCTGGCACCTCGTCGACGCCATCTGTCGTCGTCTTTGTCGCCTCACTTTTGACCGAGGGTGACCGCTGGTCGGCCACGCCATCCGATGGCCCTGGCGAGCGGCGGGTCACCTCTCTGTCTCGCTGTGAGCCGTCGCTGTAGTCTCTGGCCACCGAGTACTGGACCGCCCTTGCGCGGCGCTAGCGACCACCGCAGCTGCGTACAATCTATCCCTAGCCCGTCGTCTGCGCTTGACCGTCAGCCGCGCCCGGCTCCCTGACCGCCTCTGCAGCGTACATGTACCAGCTGCCGGACCCGCCACCGAGACCTCTAAACGGGCCCGAGCCGTGCACACATCCACGCAGAGGTGCCAGACTCGCTGGCAAGCTGACCGCTGCGGCCCCGAGATCCCGAGAGCAGGGCGGGCGGGGTGGCGTGAGAGTTGGGGCAACTTTGGCAGGGCCCAACTTTGGCTGAACCTAGCCTGGGAAAAAAAAGGAAGTTTGCCACTGCCCTGAGCTTCTGCTGAGCTGGCACTTGTGGCAACTGAACTTTCCCCTGGCCCAGCCTCCACATCCTGTACAGCCACAGGAGCTTGCCAGCCAGCCAGCCTGCCAACCTGCCCCTGTCCAAGCTGCCTTGACCTGGGGAATTTCTGAACATCAGCTCCTTCCAAAAAAGGAAGTTCATTGAAGCTGACCTTGCCTCAACTTCCCCTGGCCAACCACAGCCCAGAGCCACAGAGAGAGGGGAAAGGAAAATCGAATTTTGCCTCAGCCTGGCTGGTATATAAACAGGGCACCCCCTCAATTCCCCCTCCCCCCACCTTGCCTCTTCCCCACATCCACCCCTCCCTGCACCACTTGAACTGGGCTCCCCCCTTGATTTTTCTGAAATCCTGCAGCCAACCTCAACCTCAACCTCCTGCCCCTCCCCCCTTGCCCTTCCCAAGCGTCAGGGTCCCGCTGCCATTTTCCAGCCCTCGCTTAGTCAGCGACCCCTCTCTTCCTGCCTCCTCGTCTGGCCTTGACCCGCCCCGCCGCGCCCCGACTCCGAGCCAAGCGCCGCCTGCCACGCCGCCAGCGCGCGACACTCTCTCTGACGTGCGTGCGTGCGTCTTGACGAAGCCAAGCCTCGCTCCACATTCGACCCTCGGCCCCCGCCCCCGCCCGCACCGCCGCGACCTCGAAGGCCCGCTTCCGACCTCTCCCCGCTGCCGCAACTCGACCGTCGCGTCGGCGCCGGCCCAAGCCCAACCTTGATCCAGAGCCTCGACGGCACTCGGTCCTCGACGACCTTCTTCCAAACCATCCTCGCCCGCCCGCGTCCGCCGCCCTCTGCGCTTCGCGAAGCCAAAATGCCGCCAAAGGCGGTGACCAAGCCCGACCCCGGTGAGTGCCGCATCCACCTCTGCCAGACCAAGCGCCGCTCGCGACGCCGAGGCTGCGATCGCCGCCATGGCCCCCGCGCTCTTCGATGGCGACAGTGGCAACGCTCCGACCGTCGAGTGAGCTCTAGTCGCTGACCGTCCGAAAGCCCCCTGAATCCTGTCTCTCCCCTTCGCTGCCACAGAAGACGAGGATGACGAGCTCTTCGGATTCGGCGTCGAGTCCGACGACTACTACACCAGCGACGACGGCGACTTCAAGTCGAGCCCCAGCAAGCCACGCAGCCGCAAGACGGGCTCTAACAAGGTGTGAGTGTTCAAGAAGGGGGTCCCCCGCAACTGCGACGATCAGAGAGCGTTCCGCCGCCGCCGCCCTGTTGCGGGCGACCGTCGGCCGCAAAGCGATCCAGCGAACCTGACTCCGTCTCCTCTCCTGCGCCCCGATCCCGTCGCCCGGCGACCCGGCTCCATCTCCTCGCTGCGCCTATCCAGCCTCGACCTCGGCCATGTCTTGCAACCGCCGCGGGCATGCCAGTACTCGACCAAGACCTTCTTCGAGATGCTCCAGGACGACGTCATTGATCTTGAGCCCGAGTACCAGCGCGGCGTCGTGTGGTCCGAGAGCAAGCAGTCGGCGGTCATCGAGTCGATCATGCGGCATTACTACGTGCCGCCCATCCTCCTCTCGGTCAAGGAAAAGGAGGACACCAAGGACCTCCTGTACATCTGCATCGACGGCAAGCAGCGTCTGTCGTCGGTCCAGGCCTTCTTCCAGAACAAGATCCCCGTCAAGGAGCCGGGCACCAAGAACAAGTTCTGGTACAAGGAGGACCTGGCGCAGGGCAAGACGCCGGCCCTGACGGCGGCACAGCGCCGCAGGTTCGACAACGAGCAGCTGACGTGCGTCGAGTTCACCGGGCTCAACGAAGAGATCGAGCGCGACATGTTCTCGCGCGTCCAGATGGGAGTGACGCTCTCGTCGGCCGAGAAGCTGGCCGCCCACCTGGGAGACTGGCCCGACCTGATCCGCAAGCTCATCAAGCGCTTCCTCGACGCCACGCCCGAGCACCCGGGCCTGTCGACCGACCGCAAGGGCAACCTGATCATCGACGTCTCCCGGGGCAAGGACTACCTGTTCATGGCGCAGATTCTGCTCCTGATCTTCAACGCCGACGACCCGCGCTACGTGCCCTCGGCCGCCAAGATCGAGACGTTCCTCACCAAGAACGCCAAGAATGCCCCGTCCTCCAAGATCAGCGGCGAGATCCACGAGACGCTCGCAAAGTTTGTCGCGCTGGCCAACCACCCGCGCTACGGCGGGTGCGTCAAGCCGAGCCAGGCCGTCAACACCAAGGGGCGCACGTACGACCGCTTCATCTCGCCCGTCGAGTTCGTCTACATCGGCTTCCTCATCTACAAGTTCCGCAGCGCCGAGCTCAACCAGCTCTACCAGCTGGTCGAGGGCATGAAGGACGCGGTGCGGCCCAAGTTCAAGGACATGATGTTCAACTCGCGCGTCGCCGACACCCTCCGCTACTATATCGACACGGCCAAGCTGCCCCCTCCGCTCCCCGAGGGCGACGCCATGCCGCCGCGCAAGAAGCGCGTCAGGCCGCCGTCGGACGACGACAGCGACGACGACTACCGACCCACCACCCGCGTCCGCGTGCCCACGGCGAGGCGCAGCAGCGCCGCCAACGGCGCTCTAGCGGCGGCCGCACAGCCGCAGCAGCCGCCAGCGGCTCCAGCAGCATCCACCTCGGTCGTGGCAGCACCCCCTGCTTCGGCCAGTGGCCCCTCTGCCACGGCCCCTGCCCATGCCCATGCCCGTGCCCCTGCCCCTATCTCTGCCCCTGCCGCGCCACCCGTCGCTCCGGCCACGTCCTACGGTACGATGGCTTACAGCAACACCAACGGCGCCGGCAGCAGCAACTACCAGGCATCGCTGCCCTCCTTTAACCCGCTCAGCAACATCCCGCCAGTTCCGCAGCAGGCGCGTCCGGAACCGATCTGGGGCCAGAACTTCTATGGCTCGGGCGGTGGCGGTACTGTCAACCCGTCCAACCTGCAGCAGCAGCAGCAGCAGCAGCAGCAGCAGCAGCAGCAGCAGCAGCAGCAGCAGCAGCAGCATCACCATCACCACCACCACCACACGCCCTATGGCGGCCAGAACCCTTACCGCTGAGGGCTGACATGCGCCCAGGCACAGGGCGCCGACGCCGCGACCGCATGACTTCCGCCCCTCGATCCGATCCCGGCCCCCTCGCCATCTGTACTATATCGGCGCACGCACGCGACTGCACGATTCCCTCCCATGTCTCTTCTTCTCGCTCCTCGATGTTGCGCACGCCCCCCCCCCATGTATAGCAAGCACGCCAGGACTCGCACAGCGGTCCATGGACCATCCAGCAATCGATCGACGCCTTCGCAACCTCGATGTACGTCTCTCTCGTCATCGGCCTCGACCAGCTACGCGATGCGGGCGACGGTCAAACTGGTGCGAGGTGCGAGAGACGCAAAGGCGCACGAGTAAGAAGAGTGGATTCCAATCGAGGGCCGCAGCCAGTCTGCTCATCCGGCGGACGGGCGGGCGTTTTGCAACGGTCGTGAGGCTAGTGATCTACGACGACGGGGAGGAGAGAGAGGAAGAGCCGGCCCGTCACGCCGAATGGAAAAGACGGGGGAGGGCCGATGCGTAGACGAGCGTGCGGGACGTCGTCGAGGGCGAGCCCGGCCACGACGACAAGGGGATGATCGAGGGCGGCAGTTATACATAGTCCGTGTCATGGCAGGAAAGACCGAGAGGAGATTGCGAGACCGGGAGAGGGAGGGAGGGCGCAAGGAAGGGTGGGCAGGCGGACCAGGGGGAGAAGGGCCAAACGAGCCGACGGCGGCTACTCGTCCGAGTTGTTGCGCACGGCCAGCTTGCGCCCGTAGTCCTGGTCGTCGCGCAGACTGGTGGCGCTGCCGGCCTCGTGGGCGCGCATGTCGAGGCGCCCGTCGGTCTCGTTGGAGCTGGCGCTCGGGTCGGCGAAGACGTCGTTGCCCAGGAGCTGGTCGTCTCCGCCTCGGTGCGCACCGCCCGCGATGCCGCCGGCGGCGGCGTAGCCCTCGGCTCCATCCAGCGGCGGCGAGTGGCCCGGGTTCCAGTTGAGCTGCGGGGCGCCCGTGCTGCTGTACCCGTGGCCGCCGCTGCCGGGCGGCGCGTAGGGGTCCTCGTGGGTGTGCTGGCTGAAGGCATTCTCGTGGCCCGCGCTGCCGGTACCGCCATAGTAGCCGCCGTAGGCGCCGCCGTCGTTGCCCGGCGGTCCGGCAGCTCCGTTGTCGTAGTAGTGCGATCCGTCGGTACCGTTGCCGGCACCGGCGTAGTAGGCGGCAGCACCAGCGACGGCGGCGCCACCTGCACCAGCAGGCGGGCCGTAGGCGCCCATGCCGGCGTAGCCCGGACCGGTGCCGCCCGACAGGTGGCTCGGCTCGTACTCGTTGGTCGACGGCGCATAGTTGTTGTAATACTGCTGCATCATCGGACCCGAGGCACCGTATGCGCCGGCACCCGCAGCAGCAGCGCCCGCCGAGCCGGCGCCGGTGGTGCCGTAGCTCGGGTGCTCGATCATCTCCGGATCGTCGTCGTCGAAGGGGGTGCGCGTCGTCGCGGCGGCGGCCGAGGCGGCAGCGACGACGTCGGCGTCCATCTTCTGCGCCTTGCGTCGCTTCCACAGCAGGTACACGACGCCGGCCACCAGGCCAGCGCAAACGATTCCAACGGCTGCAAAGGTGCCGCCGACGGCTCCGCCATTGCTGAAAAAGTCGTTGCTGCCGGAGCTGCTTCCGCCGCCGCCGCTCAGCTGGCCATTGGCCGTGGTGATGACCTGGATGGCTGTCGAGGTCGAGCTCTGACCGTTGGGCAGGGTGACGGTGACGAGCGATGTCTGCGTCGTCACGATCGAGGCTGATGTGGGTCTCGACTCGGATCTGCTCCGCGAAGGTTGGTCACGGCCGCGCGTAGATGATGCATCGGCGGCGTTGTTGTTGTTATTGTTGTTGTTGTTGTTGTTGTTATTGTTGTTGTTGTTGTTGTTGTTGTTGCCATCGTTGTTGTTGTTGTTGTTGTTGTTATTATTGTTGTTAGCGGTGGTGTTGGAATCAATGGCGTTGGCGTCGTTGTTCGAGTTTGTGGCAGAAGAGGTCGGAGATGGTCCAGAGTTGTCGGGACGGGCCGATGTCGATGCGGATGGATCGTCGGAGGGCGGTGCAGATGAGGCGGACGGAGATGGGTTCAAGGGTCGGGTCGAGGATGAAGCGGTGGGAGGCGTCAGAATCTCGGTCGATGAAGACGTGTCTGGGAGGGAGGTGCTGCTGCGGGGTCATGGGATCATCGCGGTGGACGTGCGGCAGGTAGGGACCCGGCAAGGAATCGCACCGCGCATGGTCGCCAACACGCAGCGAGCAGGGTACGGGTCGCAGAAGGGAGGCATGGGATCGGGAAGGGGCACAGAGAGTGGTCGCGGGGTCGAAAAAGTGCAAGCACTTGGTCAACGGCCCGACCGCTTCCAACTTTAGACGCGGCAGAGATGCCGGTAGGCTTCCTAGCATGGCCTGAAACGGTGCCGATGGCGCCGGGTTGGGCTGCACGGGCTTGCACCGAGTCCTCGGCCGAGTCGCTTGACAGGGCGGTGATGCTGTTCTAGACGTCCGCAAAGAGCGGTGCACAAGACAGAGGCGCAGATTCCGAGGGGGCAGAGTCACTGTACTCACGAAGGCCGTTGTGTGGACGAGGGTCGATCAGGGGTGGATGAACTCGCCGGCCCTTGCGTGCTGCTCGACGAGGGTGGCTGTGTCGAAGACGAAGTCGGCGGTTCGCTCGTAGAGCTGCTCGTCTCACGACTGGACGTGGTGCTTGAGCTGGTGGTGGGCGGTGGTTGCGTGGAGCTGGTCGTCGATGGCGGTTGCGTCGTCTGCAGGGTCAGAGAGGGAAGGTCGAATGCGGACATGGCGATGTCGGATCGGGGTGGTTAGCAAACCTGATCAGAGGTGGTGGAGAGCACGAAAGACGGCACGGGAGGCGAGCATCCGATCTCGGCGGCGCAGGGAGGTCAGGCGCGCGGGTGGGCGAAGCCAGACTCGCTTCGGCGGGGGGAAAACAGGGGCCCCGCCCGATTTTCCCGCACGCCGGCGCGGGAGCGACTCGGCCCGACGCGACAAGAGGATCCGCCGGAGCCCGTCAACGGGAGGAGCAGCGAGCGCCACCTTGATCCGCCGTCGAAGGATCTGCGGGTGCAGAAAGCATCATTGGCGAAACGCTGGCGATGGCCCTCACAGATGTTGATGGTGGCTCCCGCGAAGAGGTGGTCGTCGGAGCCGCAGACGACGCCTCTGAACTCGTCGTCGACGTCGAGGGGAAGCTCACACTTGACTCGCTACTCGCACTTGTGGTCGTCGGCGCAGCCTGACTCGTGGAACTCGTCGAAGCTTGTTCCGTCGTACTCACGGAGCTCCTGCGATCGTCAGATTAGAGGGGGGTCAAATGACAAATGGGAGGGAATTAGCGTCGCAGTATCTCAGCATCCACACATCAGAACAATGTCACTCACGGTCCTTGAGACGAAGACGACCGGGTCGATGATGGAAGGTCTGTGGACGACGAGACGGGGTCTGGAGAGAGAACCGAAGCAGCCAGTACAGGGTGCTGCAATGGTCAGACACGGATGCTGTCCGCCGCGACGGACGAAGCCGAGGAACCAAAGAGAACCGAGCATCGGACACCCACTGGTGTTGCCGCCAGGGATGAGGTCGCCGATCAGGGAAGTGACGGGGTCAAGCACTCCAGCTACGGTGTCAACGACAACGAGCAGAGATGAGACCGAGCCAAACGGAAAGGTCGGGGTGAACGCATCCGGTCGGGAAGCATCGCGTCAATCATCGGGTCCAAGGGCAGAGGATCCGCATCGACGGTGCAACGACGCCGACCGTAGTGCCGACCATGCACCAGAGAGAAGATCGGCGTCACAGAGGCCGGTCGAGGGGGATCGACAGGACACGGACGGGAAAAGGGAGGAAATGGAGGGACAAGGCACGCGGAAAAAGCGCAAGGGAGAGAGGGCGAAGAGGGGAAAGATCGGCAGGGTCGGGATTGGGGGCGAATGAGGGAGATGTCGTGGGGCAAACGCAAAGCGAATGTCAACGTGACGATGTCCTCGTTTAGGCGCGGTATTCGAGCGACGAGGCAGTCGAAGACGAGGTCCACAGTGCCGAGCAGCCACAGTGCGACGGACTGTCGTGGACGCACGAGGCCGAAGCGGCCGATGGTCTCTCAGCACCGAACGACCAAGAGCGATCGATTCCGCCGCGACTGGGCGGGGAAAACGCCACGAAGCTCGTCCCCAGACGACGTGCTCAGCTCGTGTCGGGATCGAGACGGTGTTGCTGAATTGGGACGCTTGGCAGGCCTGCACCGAGCCGCGTCTACCGGTTGCGACGACCAGCCGACCTTGTGACTGTGTGGCTATGCCGAATGGCAATACTCACCCATGATTGCTGGATACCGCTGAGCGGATTAGGTCGGAGGTCAAGAGGAGGGCTGCGGCCAGTCCAGCCGAAGACTCGAGGATTCAGCAACAGACGAGCTGACGGGAATCGCGAGCGTCCGTGGTCGTCGAAGTCGAGCCGTAGGTCGGGGTGTCTCGACTCTGTCGCTCTATGCGAAGGTGTTGATGGTGGTGGCGGCGGCTCAAGATGAAAGCAAGAGGGTCGATTGTCCGAGGAGACGATGAGCGAGGGGGCCACTGTGGCGCCAGACCTTGAGCGGGACGAGGAACGGAGAGGGCGGGTCGGTGCTGGCTGCGTTGGTACTAGATAGGGCCGGGTTCGGCGTAGGTGAAGATGCAAGCAAAGGCTGAACCGGGGAAACCACGAGGGCGAGATGTACGTGGGAGAGAGAGTCTGCGCGAGAGGTACGAGGTAGTGTGGAGATGGTGGAGAGGTCGAAGACAGAGTGGGTCGGTCGGGCGAGTAACCTGGCAAGGCTGCCGCGGTGGGGCCGGAGGTGTTGATGGCCTGCCTGGCAGGGCGCCGGCCTCTCTCCCGGTCCTCGCTCTGGCGTCAGGAAAATTTCCGCCGTACCGTATCTGAACCGCCATGCCATGCCGTGCCGTGCCTCACCATCCCTCTGTCTCCTTTCCCCTCCACGCACCCACGCAAGCACGCACGCTCACCTGCTGGCGCTCCCTCTCTCGATGCGGCTGCCGCGAAGACGGGCGAGAGGGTGGTGAGACGTGGATTGCCGCCGCCGCCAAGAAGAGGAGATAGAGCTAGAAGACGGCGAGCGAGCCTAGGCACCTCGAAGGAGTGCAGTCAGTCAGCCAGCGTCGGCCACGCTGCTGCTGCTTGCTTTCTTTGCCTGCAGGCATCGGCGATTCCGCTTGCAGCGAGGTCTGCTCGCCGTCTGACTGCCTCTTTCCTGCCTGCCTTGCTTGGCCTGGCGGTGATTGCCGAAACCTCTGGGGCTGTGCGTGCTCTCTCGCCATGACGGACGATCTTCATCATCAGGCAGGCAGCCGGTCCCCTCCCGCCGCCAGTTCGACCGGATACCAGCCATCCATATGGCCGTCTGCCGCCACACCGCTCCCGTTCGCTACTCGCCAACGTCGTCGCTCGTCGTACCGGGACGGCAGCGTCTGGACGTCGGCTCAGCTCGAGTGAGAGAGTAGAGGTGGCGACCGAGGACGTCGCGAACCAAAGCCTCCGGCCACAAAGACGAGAGAGAAGAGAAAGCAGGGCAGGGGCCTTAGCTTGGCGGCGCCGGCCCGCTTCCCGTACGTTGAACCCTGGCCTGGCCTCTTGCGCTGCTTCTGTCCCTACCCGTTGTTGCTCGCTTCGATGCAGCTCCCGTCGACGGATTTCCAGGGCCCTTTGCTTGCGGCGGCACTACATCGGTCGGGGCCTCTCCACCGTCCTGCTCTGCTCGGCCAAGGCAGCGTTCGGACCTCGCCTACCTTGCTCGCGATCCGGGACCACATCCGCAGAACCCGTCCCAGCTCTGGACCCCCCGTTTTTCGAGCCTGGCTGGGCGAACGGGTGAGCCGACCGTCGACGTCGACTCCCGTCCGGACAGCATGCGCTCGAAAGCGTCGGCGTCGGCGTCGTCGTTGTTGTCGTTGTCGGCGGCGGCGGGCTGTTCAATATTAATCAAAGCATGGTGACGCATTATTGCCCAGCCCAGCCGCGCAGGCTGCAGCGTGCCGGCCGCCCACCTACCTGCCTGCCTGCCTGCGTGTGGGCCTTCTGCAGTCGGCGTCCAAGGTCCGACCATCGAGCTGGCAGACAGCAGAAAGGGCCCTCGACTGGCGCCGGAGGGCAGGATTACATAACCTGGCCAAGTGGCCGGTGCGGAACCGAGAAGGGCGTTCACGTTCTCGCCGTCGCCTGCCGCAGCCTCGACCCTCTGCGTTCGGTTCCGCTTCCGTCTCTGGCTGCTGCTTGCATCGACCTCGACCTCGACCTCGACCTTGACCTTTACCACCGCCATGCTACTCCTGTCTGGCGACCTGCTCACGGCCATGTGCGCTCTGTTTTTCTAGCAATCGTGCGGCGGCTTTCTGATTCTGCCATGGACCACCCCGCTCCCCCCGGGAAAACGACACTACATGAGAAGGAGAAGGGCGTGTGTGTGTGTTTGCGTGTGTGCGTGCACGTTTGCGTGCGGAGAATACATGGTTGGAAATGGGAACGACGAAAAAGGGCATCCCGGGGTTTAGGAGGTCGATGATCGTAGCACGGGATCGTCAAGCCGCCTTTTTTGTGGTTGTTGTTTGGTGGGTTGGACGGTGCGACCGAGGCGAAGGATGCGGATTCGCCAGGGCGCAGGAGGGCATGGTCGCGCACGGGTTGGGCGCAGAGTAGAGAGGCATGCGTGTGCTGAGAGAGGGTGTAGGATATCCAAGGTCAAACAACGACTACATAACACCCGATCCGTCCACGACTGTTCGCCGGCCGCATCCTGGAGATCGACCGCCGGCAGGGCACGGTCGACGTGAGGACGAGGGGCAGCGGACCGTCAAGAGACGGGACAGGGTGCGTGCGCGCGCTGTGTGAGGCGAGCGCCTTAGACGGCCGTGAGGGGAGCGGGCTCCTTGAACTCGGACGACTTGGCCTTGACGCCGGCGTCCTCGGTGCCGGCGTTGTTGGCGCCACCGTGGAGCTCGATGAGCTTGCCGAGCTCGAACTTGGGCTTCTTGAGGACCTTGCATCGTCGGATGTGGACGTCCTTGAGCGGGTAGATGCCTTGCGTGGCCTTCTCAATCTCGCGTCCCATCACCTCGGGGATGAGCTTGGCGACGAGCTCGCGGATGTCGCACGACGACGCCTCGCGCTGGATGATCTCGAACATCTTCTTGCGGATGGCGCGGACCTGCGACGACTGCGCGTAGGTCGTCTTCTTGACCTGGTTGGCGCGGCGGCGGGTGAAGGCGATGCAGAAGATGCGGAGGAGGTAGCCGTCGGTCGTCTTGACGTCGACGTGGGCCTCGATCAGCGTCTGCCACTTGCGGACGAGCGAGCGGATCTTGTCCGAGGTGAAGTCCATGCCGTGGAAGTTGGTGAGGCAGGTGCGGCCCTGGACCTCGTCAACGCGCAGCTGGAACTTGCGGTACGACTGCTCATCGTCCTTGTTGAGGTCGGCGAGCGAAGCCTCAACGATACGGCCCTTGAGCGAGTCGTTGGCGTTCTCTGTTGTGGTGATTCAAGAGCGGACACGAGGGCGGGAGGGCGGCTGTCAGAGACCTCGCTCCCGAAGCAGTGGCTGATCCTCCCTCGTGCTTCTCCGCCACAGCCTTTCCCTTGCCGTCCCACAGATCTTCGTGTGAAGCGCCTCGGCTGTCGGCTGTGACCCTTCTCCTCCGGCATCCTGGACATCTCGACCCCATGGCGCTGACTCCCCATCGCCTGTTCACTCTGCCATCAACATCAGCGTTAGACACTCACTCAGACCCTGGGAGCGGTTGACAAGGGTCTTGCCAACGTTCCTGTTCTCGAAGAAGATGGGGGCCTTGACATCGTACCAGTCCTTGCGGGTGAAGGGGTCGACGGCGCGCTTCTTGTTGCCACGGCCCTTGGAGAGCTTCTTGTTCTTTCCGACAGCTGCAGAACAAGGCACACCAGGATGCAGGGAGCGATAAGGTCAGCGACACGCCGCAGAAAGCAGAATGCCGGAGCTTGGCAGCGCGGGCCCCGACGAGGACGTGATGTGATGCGGCGCGCTAGCGAGTGCTGATAGCGTCGGATGCTGGGCGTGTGCAGGAATGCGAAGGGTGTGTCGAGGGTCGTCGGAGCACGCCCCGCCGCGTTAAAGATGGAATGGCCGTGCCTCTCCAAACGGGCGACTCCGGACGGTTTCCACCTGAGCCGAAGAGTGCTCTTCCGACAGAGCGAGACGTCCTTTGGTCGACAGGACCTTGCCACGCTGTCGAGAGGCGGAGCCTTCACCCCGCCCGTTTGTTCAACCTCTTCTGCCGCTAATTCCCCCATCTCTGTAGACCGGACGCCCAGCCTGGAAAGCTGGTTTGGAGTCCAGCGAGCGGAGCCTCCTCCGCTAGCCTGAACCAAAGAAGATGTCGCTTTGGCCGGAAGAGGTCGAGGCCGGCAAGTCGGAAACGGGTCGAGAAGGAGCCGGCTCGGCGTGGTGCGACGCCCGCCTTGCAGACTAGGATGAAGTGCCGCTGCGAGCAGCATGACACCAGCAGCAATGTAGCGTCGTCTACGGGTCGGTCGTTCGGTCGTTCGGTCGATTGGTCGATTGATAGGGCGGGCGCAAAGCGGTGTCGTCTCCCCAGTCGAGCATTACGAGCTTGGCCTCGGGTCGTGGCGGTGATGGGTGCTGCCGGCGTCGAGCGTGTCGGTCGTCGGGGGCCGCGCTAGACTGCGATGTGGATGCTGCCACGGCGTCTGCGACACTCACCCATCTTGAATCAATGTGTGCTTGAGGTGAAGACGTTGGTGGGGTGGAGACGGTTCGGAGAGAAGGCGACGGCGTACTCGACGTCCTCCCCTCCTCGGTCGCCCGCGCCCGCGCCTGCACCGTCTCCCGCCTGCGCCTGCCTGCCCGAGCTGGGCGGGCGGCCCCTCCCTCCCCTTGACCTCGGCGCCGAGCAGGCCTCTTGCTGTGTCCAGGCCTCGCACCCGCCCTTCCTGCTTGGACTTGAGATGGCCTGGCTTGGCCTGGCGCTGGCCTGGCGCTGGCTGGCGTGCGCCGCCCTTGGCTTCAGCCGTCAGGTGGCTGGCCTGAAGCGGGGAGTGACCCAGCTCGCTCTCGTTTGGGAAAAAAAATTGCCACGGCCGAGCGTGCACGTGAGGAGGCCCCAGAGAACTGGAAAAAATCGAGGCGGCCAGCCCAGCTCGGAATTTCGCAAAGACCCGGGTGCCGTGCCAGCCAGGGGGAGCGGTCGTCGCCCGAACGAGAGGCTGGCTTGGCTGGCTGGCCCAGCTGTGCAGAGGCGGTGCCTGGCAGGCGCAGGCTGGCTGTTGGCGGAGACGAGGCAAACGTTGGCAGGCCGGGGCAAGCTGGCCACGCCGGCGCGGGCGCGGGCGGCCGGGGCCAGGAAGTCGCACCTTGGGCAGCGCCAGCGCTGTCGTCGTCGTCGACACCACACCGTATCCGCCCCTCCCTCTCCTCCCGTCCCATTCCCGGCATCATCCTCAAGGTAAGTGTCGACGGCAACGGCTGGCACCATCGGCACGCTGCGCTCCTACGGATCCAACACCCCACGGCTACGACGCAGTCCACCAGCGAACGGCAACCCAGGCCGGCCGACACTTTGCATCACCTTGCGCGGTCCGACAATCACCTCGACCCCGACAGAACGACCGCTCATATACGTCGAGTCGACATCAGCCCCGCCACAGCATCTCAGAGACACCCGACACACCCCTGCTGGATGACTGTTGCGGCACCATGCATGCGGTCATCCTCGTTCACGTCGAAAGACGAGCCAATCTGCGCCGGGACCGGTAGCTTCCGCTGGGCGAAGCCGCAAATTGAGCAGGATGGGGACGAATGCTGTCGCTCGAGGGATAGAGGCCATGGAGACGACGATGGAGTCAGCTCGGGACGAGCGCACGCGGGAGGTTGGTCTTGGCTAGACTGCGCCGACCTGGCGCACGGCGTACCAGCTCCCGCTCGGCCGTCACCTCCAAGGTCACGCTCGCGTCAGGCCATCTGGGCACGCGGCCTCGAAGGTCGGACGACCACATGCTGTAGTGCGCAGCACAGAGCACGGATGGGGGCAGGCTAGGAAGATTGGACGGGCTGGGTGGAGCTAGTATGGCTGCGCGCCTCAACGGGACCAAGGGACGAAATCGGAGTCGAGCGACGAGTGCAACCGTCACGGCTGGCAGCTGGAGCATCGGAGACTCGGCGGACTCTGGGCGGAGAGCGTCTTTAGCCGGCCGCACACCGTACGACTTCTACCTGGAAACGACACGAAGCGCCGACCCATCTCGATCCGACTCGCCCAGCCACGCCTTTTCCACCACGTCGACAGGATTCGCACCAGCTATCACTCCCGAACGACGTCCGCGGCGCCGTCGCGATGGATCTTGCCCTCACCTCAGACGAGCCAGGACGCTGACGCCTCGGCCTTGTTCTGAACCCTCACGACCCCCTCTGCAGACCGTCAATATGGCTTCCGTCCAGAACAAGATCTTCCGCACGGCGAACGCCCCCACTGGTCCTGCCAGCGAGACCGAGACGGTCGTCGCCCAGGCCATCCTTGACCTCGAGGCCAACGTCCCCGAGCTCAAGTCTGAGCTCCGCCCCCTCCAGATCTCGGCCGCCAAGGAGGTCGACGTCAAGGGCGGCAAGAAGGCTATTGTCATCTTCGTCCCCATGCCCCAGCTCAAGGCCTTCCACAAGATCCAGCAGAGGTGAGTTGCAGCGCGGCGCGCGATCAGCATGCGACGGAAGACGTCGAGGCGAGAGACGACCAAGGAGGGGCCTATACTCGTGCGGTGGCTAGGGACGCGGTCGGACAAGGACGCCGGTCGTTGGACCGGGTCATGAGGCAGAGAGAAAGAGGCCGGGAGGTCGCTTGCTGCACGGCAGCCCAACCCTCGGACATGCCGCTGACGATTGCCCTCGTTCCTCTTCTGCGTGATCGCCTTGTCTCCACCGCTCAGGCTCACCCGTGAGCTCGAGAAGAAGTTCTCGGACCGCCACGTTGTCTTTGTCGGCCAGCGACGAATCCTCCCCAAGCCCGGCCGCAACGTCCAGAGCAAGCAGATGCGCCCGCGCAACCGCACCCTGACCGCCGTCCACGAGAACATCCTCGAGGACCTCGTCTACCCCTCGGAGATCGTTGGCAAGCGCACCCGCGTCGCCACCGACGGCAGCAAGCTGATCAAGTGCTTCCTTGACTCCAAGGACGCCACTTCGCTCGAGTACAAGCTCGACAGCTTCAGCAGCGTCTACAAGAAGCTGACGGGCCGCGACGTCACCTTCATGTTCAGCAGCGACAACTAAGCGGCACACCCCAACCCGCCGCGCGCCAGCATAGAGAGGAAGATGGGGGGAGGCTTGCGTCGACGACTCCTTCGAAAGGTCCCTCTGGCAGCGACGATCGAGGTCTCCCCGGGCTGGCTGACCGCCACCGCGACCTCGGGATCCTCGGTCGCTTGACCCATCGCTTGCCTGCCTCCCCCCCTCGAGCTCTTCGACCGGGCCTTTCGTTGTCACCACCCCCTGATGTACTTGTCTCGACGCAAAAAAAAGAAACCCAGCCATTCTTGCCACACGACCCCTGCCGCCTGCCGCCCTCTCTCTCTCTCTTTCCTGTCCTACCATGCTCCGGAGCCGCAACGCATCGGCGTACGACTTTCGTCGCCTTCGTCCGCCGCGCCTTCTGGTGGAAGGCAAGTCGTCGTCAAGAAGCACCTTTGATTCCGCGCGCCTGGTCCGTCGATTCGGCAAGACGTCCCTATGTGACGACAAGTCGCTGGGCGAAGCTGCCACGCAGCGACATGGTCGTCGCACTTCTCTTCCAAGACCAGATTGCGGGAGGGGACCACCTCGGCCTCGCTGTCAGCACACACCATAGTCTCATATCCACCCACTGCCGTCTACTGTATCGAGGAGCGGCCACTTCCTTCGCTCTCCAAAACGCCCCCATCCCCATGCATTTCCCGAATCCATGCATCCACGCTCGTCTGATCCAGCTGTGCTGGCATGCCTTTGCGGGAGTCGGTGTACGTATCTTCAGCCGGCGTGCGTATCGGTGGCAGGATGGTCGTAGGCCGAAGAGGGTGCAGGAAGGCTGCACAACAGCGGCACCAGCCTGGGGCCCGGGTCTCGGAAGATGCAGGTTCGCGTTTTCGGTTGAGGCCGAAACCCTCGAGCGAAAGCCGCCGTTCGGCAGACGGCGGGCCAGGCCAAGGCGGGGCGGGAGAAGGAGAAGTACCGCCGTAGGCTAGGCAGGCTAAGTTGGCGTCGGGCAGGCATCTCTCCCACGGCCCGAGCCGGGCTGCGCTCGAGCGCAGCAAGCAGCTGAGCTTGCGGTTGGCTTGCTGCACTCGGGCCGATCCGATGCCATGACAACCACCAACATACATCGTATCGTCGCAGCCCAACCCGACCCAGCCAAACCTTCTCGAGCCTGCCCGCGCAGCTTGCCTCGCCCGTCTCAACCCCCCTTCCGGCGCCCGCCAGCTACCTGACGGACTCGTACGCAGCATCGAAACGTATCGATCCCGATCCCGACCGGATCCCCGCACTGTGCTCGGACCTCGACCCCGCCGCCGATTGTGTTCACGCGTAGGCCATCATCCACGCCGCGGCTACGACCCTGCTGCCGCCAAACGATCATCGACAGGACAGTCCCCACCGACCAAACCTTCACCGAGCCGTGACACTGCTGCCGAGCCGTCGGTGCTGCACGGAGATCTTCACCTTTCTGTCGTGCCAGAGCATCGTAGCGCCATCATGTTGGCGTGACCACCGGCAGCAGCAGCACCCGCCGCCGCCGCGGCAGCAGCAGCAACAGAGGAGATATACATCTAGAGATCTGCGGACGATCTCATAGAAGAACAGCTGCTCGGACAAGCTAGGGCCACATCGGGACTGCGCTTGAGCTCTTGGCTGCTCGCCCATTGGGTCGGCCTTCTCTTGGCCCACGACTGCGGAACTTTGCTTCCGAGATCACTCGCCCTACACCACATCGTTTGCAGCCCGCGGCCGCCGCCCGCGGCCCATCGCCAAGCTGTCGCATCCACTGTGGCCCGACTACCACGTCGCTCTCTCGTCTGCTGCCGAAGAGGCATGGCCTCGATCGTCAGCGGCGGGAGAAGATGGCGGCGAAACACACGCAGCTGCTGCTGCTGTTGCCCCTGCCAATCAGCAGGATGGCGCTGCCCACGCCGACGCATCAGCCTATCATCGAGCGCAGCCGCGGCGCCTGCAGCATGGCAACGACGAGCAGCAGCTGCAGCCTCCCGCTCTGACGGATCCGAGCCAACCTTTGAGCCTCAGCGGCATCTCGGAGCGCTCTCGACGACCTCCACCACACCCGGCACCTTTGAGGTTCTCTTCGCCGCCGCTGCCCTCGTCGTCATCACCCTCTGCAGGCAGTCGTGCCGCATCGCGCCCAGTTCCGACCGACTCACTCTCACCATCTGCTGAAGGCGACGATCCCCGCACACAGATCGGCGACGACCTGGCACACGCTGCGCACGCTCCTACTGCAAGCTTCGACCGGGGCGATCGGCCGTGGGCCAGACCGTCGCCGTCTCTGCTCGCCCAACAGGACGGTTTCGACCGCAGCACCGTCCGACGATATCCCTCTGACGGCACCCGATCCGAGCAGCAACGGACTCGACCTGTGCTGCGGCTGCCCGCGGCCAACGATTCGCAGTACCCGCATACCCAGTCGGGCCACGCCGCCGGCACCTTGATCACCACCATCACTGCCGGTCGGTCGAGCGCGTCCGGCCCCACTTCGTCAGCATCGGGTGCGATATCCGCCTCGCCCACCTCGCCAACGCCTTCACTGCTCTCGCGAGGCCTCGGGAGCCAGCTGCGGAGCGCTGTTCGCAGCTCCATGTCGGCAAAGGCCGATTCGAGCGAGGCAACAGCACCACCGACGTTGGCCTCGGACCACCCGTCTGCCGCTCGCGTGGCATCCTTGCCCTCGCGCATTGGCGGCGTCCTTTTGTCCAGCAGCGGCGGTCCGAGCTCGCGCGATTACAATGCCGCCCACCGTGCCAGCCTCGAAACGTCTTCTGAAGCCGCTGGCAGCGGCAGTAGAAGCAGTGCCACCATCACATCGCACCTCACTACCCTCTCTGCCGACGGCAGTGCTCCGGAACCAGCTTCCTCGGCGTCTTCGCCCCCGGTTTCTACGCTTTCGTCATCCGACAGGGATCATCGCGAGCCCCTGTCTGCAAAAGCCTCTTCGGCGCTGCGCAAGCTGCACGGCCATCGCCAACCCGCCGCCGCGACCGCATCGAGCACCCAGCAGCAGCAGCAGCAGCAGCAGCGGCCCGAGGCGAACCCATCCGAAGACATGTTTTCTTCCGCTTCCCACTATTTCAGCTCGGGGGGTCGGCAGCGGTCCGGCTCCGGATCCATCCTGGGCACGCGCAGAGGCCATGGAGAGGCAGAGGTCACAGCCACCGTCTCTCTGTGGCAACCGGCCATCACCAAGCACGGCTCGTCCGGCCTGTCCAAGGCACCTCTGCTCAGAGACGTGAGTAGAGTGGCGAGGACCGGTGACGGCAGCCGACATTCGGAAGCCGAAGACCGCCGTCCGCCACCTTCCAGCTTACGCTCTCAATTCTGACAATCGTGCGTCTTGGGCCCCACCTTTGCCGCCAAACAGGTCCCCAACGTCAAGCAGAGGCTGTCCAAGAGGGGCTCCTCGAGCTCCAAGGCTGACGTCGGCCCCGCATCAGGCTTCGACCGTGCCATTATGCTCAAGCAGACCAGTTCCTCGTGGCTGCGCGAGAAGCCCAGCCGTACGCGTCTGTCGCTGCCGCAGTCATCGACGTCGAGCAACGGCAGCTGGCGCAGGGCAACGGTGCTCTTCCGCGACAATGGCGTCCTCTCCATCTTCAACGAGGACAATGCGCTGCTGCATTCGATCCAATGCTCCAACCTCTCGGCCACCGATATCCGCAGCGTCGAGGATTCCCTCTTTGGCCGGCCAAACGTGCTCGGCATCTTTGCCCGCCCCTCGAGCTTCGTAGGCGCCCGAGCGGCTTCGCCGCCTTCCTCGTCGGTCTCGACGTCGAGCGCTTTCAGCGCCACGCCACCTTCGACCCCGATCAGGCAGGAGCCCATCTTCCTCCACCTGACCTCGGCGTCCAGGCTGCAGTACTGGCGCACGCTGCTCAAAATCTTTGCCCAGCCCGAGGTCTTTGGCCCGCCCGGCTCGGCCGTGCTCGGCGGCACCCACCGACGCTTCCGACAGATTGAGTTGACCATTTTTGAGGCCAAGAGCATCATGCCCAAGTTGCCTGTCGACACGACGGGCCACCACCACTTGCAGTCGCACGACAACTTCTACCAGGAAGGCTACAACTCGGCCGGCGTGTCTCCGAGCTTGTCAAACCGCGAGCTGCCCTATAGCCCGCATCTCCGCAGCAGCGCGCTCGACAGGGCCAAGCCAGGACGGTCCTCTTTCGATGCCGACACTTCGCTGCAGCAGGTCAACAGCTCGACGACCGACGACCGGATACAACGCGGTCTTGATCGGGGCGAAGCCGGGTCGCCAATGGCAGGCGGTGCATCGGGCAGGGGTACGCCCATCCGCGAAGAGGGCGAGGCGGGTCGGATCGACGACGATGGAAGGCAAAGCCGAGCCGCCTCGATCAACGATGCTGCATCGATCAACGCCAGCGAAGTGAGCTCGATCGACGACCTCGTCAGCGGGCCGGTCACTGGTCTCGCTGGAGCAAGCAGGTTCACGTCGACAGACGCGCAGCATTCCTCTTCGCAGCCGCAGTCGTCTGCAACGCGGCAACGGATCGGCTCGCCGCGGATGCAACCGCCGCGCAGCTTCCGCAGTCGGGAAAAGGACCTCTTTACGGCGGCCGCCTTTGACCGCTACTGCCGCATACTCATGAATGGCGAGGTGGTAGCCAGGACGCAGCCGCGCTTCAACGGTGGCGGGAGCGATGCCGCCTACAACGTTGAGAAGTTCAAGCTGATTGATCTTCCCGACGTCGAGAGCTTCACCGTCGAGGTGCTCCACGCCACGCAGAAGAGCAGCAGCACCACTGGCAGCCCCACCTCGCAGGCCGGCGCCTCGCAGAAGTTTGTGCTCCTCGGCATCGTCGAGGTGCCGATCGACAGCCTGAGGCGGGGCGAGGAGATCGAGGGCCGCTTCCCCATCTGGTCCATCGCCGCTGTCCACGGAGGCACGGGCGAGGCGGGCGACAAGTCGATGCCCTTTCACAAGGGCATGGTGGGCGAGCTCAAGATGTCGATCAAGCTGCGCGAGGAGACGATCCTGCCACTGTCCGTCTACCGCGAGATTGACGACCGGCTGCACGCTCCCGACGCGCCGGAGCTGATCCAGGGCCTGGCAAAGTATCTCAGCGAGGAGTCCGTGGTGCCACACCTGGTCGACTTCTACGCAGCCTCGGGCTCGATCACCGAGCGCCTCGCTGCACTCGCCGACCTGGAGAGCGCATCGTGGGGCGAGCGGGTGGAGCCCGAGATGCTCTTCCGCGCCAACACGCTGCTCTCGCGCTCCGTCGACCACTTCCAGCGCCTGCTGGCGCTGCCGTGGTTGGACAGCTGCGTCGGCACCATCGTCCGGGCCTTGTGCGACGACTTCCGGCCTTCTCAGAACGGCGTCGATGGACCGGGCATGCCGCCGATGGCGAGCGTCGACGGCCAGTTCGACTCTGCCGCGGTCAACCGGTCGCCCGCCCTGAGCGGCTGGTCGTCGGACCTGCCTCTAACGATCGAGGTGCTGCGCAAGCTGAGCGAATCGCTCTGGGAGAGCATCTACGCCCAGCGCCACCGATGCCCGCCGGAGCTGCGCACCGTGCTGAGCGACATCCGCGTCAAGGTCAACCGTCGCTACGCAAAGTCCAAGTCGACGCGGCCAGGCATCCAGGGCGTGGGCGCCTTTATCTTTCTCCGCCTCTTCTGCGCCGCCCTCAACGCGCCTCAGCTCTACGGTCTGACGCCATGCCAGCCCAGTCGGACGTCTCAGCGCAAGCTGCTTCTCCTGTCCAAGGTGCTGCTCGCCCTCGCCAACAAGAAGATGTCTTTCGACAAGGACAAGGATCGCGACCTGCTGCCGCTCAACGACTTCCTCACCACCTACGGACCGGCCTTCGACGACTACATCACCGTCGTCTCCACGGAGCCGCCCAAGCTGCAAAAGGCGCGCCTGCTCGGCATATCGTACGACGACGACGGCGAGCTGCAGCGGTCTGCGCAGAGGAAGCTCGACATGATGCCCGTGCTGCACAAGGAGTCGATCCCGGCGCCGCCCTACATGCTCGATCGGCCGCTCGCGCTGGCGTCCTTTGTGGCGTTTGTCGTACGGACGGCCGAAGAGAGGCTCTACGACCTCGACGGCCGTAGCGAGGATGACGGGACGCCGTACCGGTCCGACGCCCGAGGTCCAGAGGCCGACATGCTCAAGCGCAAGACGTCCGATCTCGACCGCCGTGTCGACCAGCTCATTGACCTGTGCTGCGAAGTCGAGGCTCATGCCGGCAGATTTATCGAGGCGGCCGGATACAACCCGCAGCCGATTCGCAGCACACGGCACATTCTTAGCCCGCTGAGGCCGGGCGATGTGACGAGGCTTGGGTCGGTGGTGACGACGGGCAACGCACTGCCTCCGTTCCCGCACATCCCGTCGCCGCCCTCTGCCGACCTGACCTCGAACCTCGGCAAGGGTCGGGCGGATCGTTCACCGCACCGATCGCCCTCGGCGAAGCGGACGAGGAGCGCCACGATCACCGCCTCGCCGTACCGATCGCCCGGCCGGGCAGACGCTTCCGGGTCGCCGAGGAGAGGCAACGTGGCCCTGGAAAGCTCTGGGCGGGACCAGCCGCTGTTCGCCCCCGCTCCCGATGGACGAGACGACGTCGGGCCGTTTTCGCCGCCCGGATCGTCGGAGCGGAGCACCACTTCCGTCGATCGTTACCCCTCACGCTCGGCCCATGCTGCCTTGGCAAGAAGCATCGCGAGGGTGAGCGAGGAGGATCAGCCCGCCGAGGCTTCCGAGCACGAGCAGCGCCCACCGCCCCTGGTCTATGACAGCGGACTCGAGGCATCTCGGCAGCTCAACGCACTTGGTCGACCTCCCACCACCACCGGCAGCAATGATCCGCTGCTGATGATCGAGGAGGACGGATCGACCTTTGAGCCTGTCTACCCGCCGGCGACTTTGCTGTCGTCTTCCACGCAGCCCGACAAGGGCGGTATCGCAGCGGCAGGGGCAGATGCAGATGCAGCATCGACCGGCTTGGCAGTCGGTCCGAGCGTCGGCGCCGGGGCAAGCGGGGCGACGCGGCGGCACAGCTCTCGCTCGGCCTCGGTGACGCCCAAGACGAGCGGGGTGATGCTGGGTGCGGTACGGCGGCACTCTGCCGAGCTGGCCAAGAAGGGAGGGCTCGGCCTCTCTTCGGCCATCGCGGCGGGTTTGGAGGAGCTGACGCTCGAGGATCAGAGGTCCACCTTCCGACCCTCGACGGGCGTGCATGACGGCGGCATCGGAGAGGCGCCCGGATTCGTAAGGCCCTCGACCGCTACGAGCAGCAGCACGCAGGGAGTCGGCCATGGGTCTGCAGGTGGTGGCCCCGAGAAGAAGAAAAAGTGGTGGAGACCGGGCTAGCCATCGAGGCGAGCGGACGGCCCGTCGTCGAGCTGATGGACGATCCAGATGGCGACGCCACCGAGCGGAGGGTCGCCGACTTGGGCCAGTCTGCAGCGACCATGACTATGAACTCATGCACTGCAAGTCGATTGTGATCTCAACGAGACGACAATGTCACGACGATGGCGACGACCGCTCTTGTATCGGCCCAGTTGGATGCCGGACCGAGCAGCTGTGCCACGCACGCAAGCCCCGAGTAGGTTCAGAAGATGGCGGCGAGGACGGCGACGGCCTGAGAGGACCGTCAACCAGTCCTTGCCACATGAAGGCATTGGCACAAGGTGACAGTGGCGACTGCGATTCAGCCCCGCGGTCGGTGGCACCCCCTTCATCCCGAACGCGGAGGTGTCCCCTCCGACAACATCGTGTCGGGGCTGGCGTTATGAGTGGGGCCGCCAGTACTGCCACGGCTCCTCCTCAAAGCGCGCGGCGGTCCCAAATCCTCAAAGCGCACGGCGGTCCCACATCCTCATCGCTTGGTGTCGCCACGCCCGGCGTCCCGACTAATCAGGAGGGCCGTAGAATGGCCGTGCTTGGACCATGACCTGGCTGGCGTGAAGGTATAAAACCTAGCATCTTCTCGCACCACCTCGATCTCTGCTCCCCATCCTCTCTTACCCGTCCTTGCCCAATCCACTCTACGTTCCCTCGTCCACCCCTGTCTCTCTCTCTCAACGTACGCTACCACTCCCTACGCCCACGCTGTCCATCCTACTTGCAAGATGAACATCAAGCTCCTCTTTAGCATCACGATCCTTTCGCTGTGCCTTCACCACAGCTTCGCCGCGCCCACCGGCACCGGCAAGGACCTCCGGGAGGTCGAGGTGGGACCCTTTGACCGGGTGGACGAGTCGCACTCCCTCCTTGAGCTCGAGAACGAGCTGCGTCGCGACGACGACGAAGAGGCCGAGTCCGCCGCCAAGCACGGCCGTGACGAGGCTGGCAAGGAGGTGAGCACTTTTCCAGGCAAGAGGAAGCCGCTGAAGGGACCGCCCTGATGAATTTGAGCCCGTTTCCCTGGGAGCCGATGTGTTCAGGCTGCGCGCCACGAGATCCATCGCCACCTCGACGTCGATGGCTCCACAAAGGACGAAGACGAGGGCCAGCTCCGTCCTGCCAAAGGTCCGACCGGCGACTTGTCGGCCTTTGAAGCCAATGCGCTGCTCGAGTTTGCGCCGCACCAGCTGCGGAAGCGGGTGCTCACCGGCGACATGCTCACGGAGCTACACAACATCCTGGACAGTTCGCTGCGCCACATCAACTCTGGCACCTTCAACGAGGCCCACGTCCAGGCCCTTCAGGAGGGACGATGGCTTCTCCGCAACCATGCTACCCTGACCAACGCCGAGAGGGACGAACGCCTGGAAGGCGTTCGGCAGCTCCTCGCCATCCTCGATCGTCAGAGCGGTTCCGGCCAGGCAACGACTCGCCAGGCTGGATCGGGCTCCCGCCGAGGATCGCGTCGCGGGCGCAGAGACTGAGCCTCGGGCCAGGCGTCCTTGCGGAGCCCGGCGTGGCTGCAAACGCCGGCCTTGACCGGCGGTTAATGCACGTGCGACGGCCCACGATGTCCTCGACACGCTTGCTGTGAAGGCACTGGGGCAGATTGTCGTCGGTCCGGCCTTCGTCGCCATGACAGCCGTCAAATCTCTGCCATTCTCACAATACCGTCTTCTGAGTCCCTTCTATGCCGATCAGGCAAGCAGCCACACTAGTCCAACGCTCAAACGATAGGGCTGAGCTGGCCTTTCCGTTACTCGTCCCCCCCCCCCCCCCCCTTTTTCCTCATCTCCCCATCCTACCTCTAGTTTTCCTCCCTCACATGCACTCGTCCCTTTTCACTGCTATGCATCGACGTCCCCCAATTCACTGTTTGGCCACCTCGCTGTGCGATGCTCGTCATCGTAGCGTGACCGTACCGTCTCCATGCCACCGTATGACGCTGCGGAAAGCCAGCCGTCTGTCCCAGTGGCTCGTCCCGTGCCCGCCCTCGCAGATGCGCGTCGGCCGCCTTTTACCTTTCTTCGCAGGCCAAAACTCTGGAGAGCAAGGCTCGTGTCAGATCCGGACTGACCAACGTTACCACGGCAGACAGGCATGAGCGGACCTCCGACTCGGTCGGTAACTCGCCGAAACTTTCTCGGACCCAACAAGCGACAGAGGCGCAGGGCCCTGCGAATCCTGAGTCGCCTGGTGGGCCGCAACGCTGGGTGAACGTCGACCGCGTCCGACGCGTTCAGCTCGTCCAGCGCGCCGATCGCGTCCACTTCTCGACCCGACCACGCCAACTGCTCGGTCATGACGCCTGCAGCGGTCCATATCATGACGGAAGCCGAGAGCCTGCTCAACATCCCAGTCCCATTCGTCGTCGCGCCTACCCACTCGCGGCGATCCGACGGCTCTTTTAGGACCTGCTCCGTTTCGGGCCCTCGTCCGCGCACAGACCACCTCGATTCGACACTTTTTCCTCCCCGCCACCCGCCGCGCCACGGCGACAAAATCGCCCTCCACCGCCCGTGCCTCCCGATCCGCTTGTCCCGCCCCTCCTCCCGCTGCGGTGCAGCCTCACCCCGCTTGAAGTCGGATCGATCCTTTCAGCTTTCCCCATCTGAGACGGCGTCTGACGAGCGCGACTGCTCCATCGGACTGCTCTGGCATCGCGCTGTGGAGAGCACGTTGGCGGCCCGGATAGCTTGATCTGCCTGCCTGAAGAGGGGCATCGACTCCAAGAGCAGGGCAGAGACACGTGCTCGCCGGTCCGGTCGAGTGTCAAGGGTGATGCGCCTCCCGCGACGTCGGATCGCGCTCCGTGTCGTGGGAGCTGCTGAGCTCGACCTTGCGCGTGCCATCGGGCTCGAGCGGACGCACGGCCGGGTTGGGATGATGTTCCACGGTTGACGTGCGATTGTATTACAGATGAGATGGATGAGAGTATAGCTGGAGCGTGCTTTTGAATACACAAGAGAGAGAGAGAGAGAGAGAGAGGGAGGACTGAACGACTGCAGGAGGAGGAGAAGGAAAAGGTTATGCCGAAAGGGAAGGAGCTCGGGATGGAGCGCCCACCGGCCCCGCCTGTGGCGCGGGTGGCAGGCGGTACAGCCGAAGAAGTGTAAAGGGTGGAAGGAACTAACACATGGTGAGAAGCGAGAAAGTGGTCATCCACCGTCGTCCAAGAAGAAAAAAAGGGGGGGTTCGACGACGATGTGGATGGGGAATCTAGAGGCGTGCGTGTCGTATTGCGGTGACTGTCGTTCGACGAGGACCTCGTGTCCATCCGTCCGCTCTGGCTTTCGGGTGCGCCGAGGGGCGAAGGGGAGGCGTGGCCGTCGTTTTGGGTGCGTGCGTGCGATGGGAGCGAGCGGGCGGCCGACAGGAGAGAGGGGGATGGAGAAGAGTGCAGGGATCGCGTTGGTGCGTGCAAGCGTGGAAGACCGAGACGGAACGAGACGAGAAAGAGGAGTCTTGACCTAAAGGGGGACGATGTTGAATGGTCCAGGGCGAAGTGAAAGAGGGAAGGGGGAGGGGGAGGGGGCCGGGGGGCAAGGGGTCTTGCGGTGGCTGCTCTAGACCGTGCGAAGCCTCCTCAGCACCATCGGGAGGCCAGCTCGAGTCTTGTGCCGCCGCCACAGACAAGGTCCGCGGGGCAGGCCAGGGTCTGGGCGCCAAGGGCGGCTACCAGCTTAGAACTGGAGCTTCTTGGGCTGCTCCCAGCTGAACTCGGGCCTGCCGAAGTGGCCGCCGGCGGCGGTGGCAAGGTACTGGGGCTTCTGGAGGCCGAGGTCCTTGACAATGACACCGGGGCGCAGGTTGAAGTTGGAGCGGATGATCTGGACGAGCTCGGCGTCGGGCTTCTTGCCGGTGCCGTACGAGTCGACAAACACCGAGAGCGGGTCGGCGACACCGATGGCGTACGAGAACTGGACGAGGACGCGGCGGGCGAGGCCGGCGGCGACGAGCGACTTGGCGACCCAGCGGGCAGTGTAGGCGGCCGAGCGGTCGACCTTGGAGAAGTCCTTGCCGGAGAAGGCACCACCGCCGTGGGCGCCCCAGCCGCCGTAGGTGTCGACGATGATCTTGCGGCCCGTGACGCCGGCGTCTCCCTGGGGACCGCCGATGACGAAGCGGCCGGAGGGCTGGATGTGGTAGACGGTCTTGGCGTCGAGGAGGTTGGCGGGGATGACCTTCTTGACGATCTTGTCCATGATCTCCTTGCGCAGGTCCTCGGTCGAGATCTCCTCGGCGTGCTGGGTCGAGATGACGACGGTGTCGACGCGGACGGGGACGGTGGCGCCGCCGTCCTTCTTGTACTGGACGGTGACCTGGGTCTTGGAGTCGGGGCGGAGCCATCCGAGCGTGCCGTCGCGGCGGGCGGCCGACATGGCCAGGTTGAGCTTGTGCGAGAGCATCAGGGTGAGGGGCATGAGCTCCTCGGTCTCGTCGGTGGCGTAGCCAAACATGATGCCCTGGTCACCGGCACCGTGGTCCTCGAGCGAGCCGTGGTCGAGGCCCTGGGCAATGTCGGGCGACTGCTGCTCGATGGCGACGAGGACGTTGCAGGTCTTGTAGTCGAAGCCCTTCTCGGAGCTGTCGTAGCCAATCTTCTTGATCGTGTTGCGGATGACCTTCTGGTAGTCGATCTGGGCCTTGGTGGTGATCTCACCAAAGACCATGATCATGCCCGTCTTGGTGGCCGTCTCGCAGGCAACCTTGGAGTTGGGGTCCTGCTCCAGGCAGGCGTCCTGTGCAGGTGCGGGCGGGGCAGCAAGACCGAGCAGGAGCGTGCGGGGATCGACAAGGCGGTCGAAGTCGTCAGCACTCGCTCCGAGCACCATCGCAATTCGGAGTCCGGCCGCCGGCTTGGCCCATGACAAAGGATCTGCGCTACTCACGAGGATGGCATCCGAGACCTGGTCGCAGATCTTGTCGGGGTGACCCTCACCGACCGACTCGCTGGCCGTCGGCAACCACGGGAAAGAAGATACAGGAGACGACGGACACGGCAAGTCAGCCAACACGCTCGCTCGGAACGCGGACCGATCACGTCGCCCGTCGGCCGGAGTGCGGACCGACGGAGGGTCGGGGCGGTGGTCCTGGATCGTTGGTTTGTCGGCCGGCTCCGATGCCGGTGCGGGTCCGTTGTCAAAACTCACGAGGTGAAGAGGAAGTGGCCCTCGGGGAGGACGTTGGCAGTGGCGGTGACAGACATGGTGTATGGATGGTGATGGGGGAAATGTCCGATACAGAGGTGATGGAGTGACGGAAGGGGAGAAGGGGTGGTGATGAGAGACGGACGACAACGAGGCAGGTGGGCGGGCAGTCGGGTTAAAGAGGCCAGGCCAGGGAGCGAGGCGAGGCAGAGGCGAGGCGAGGCAGAGGCGGACCAGCGAGAAGAACACGGACGCACGGCAGGACAGGAGCAGGAGCAGGAGCAGGGGCAGGGCCAGAGGCAGCCAGCCGGTTGGGGAGGCCTGCGGTGAATCACGCACGCCTCGTCTCTGGCTGGCGGGGCCTGCTCGAGGCAGGCCGGGCAACGCACGCGCACAACCCGCACGCACGACCGAACAAAAGCGGGCAGGCAGGGTGTCAGGCAGGCGGGACGAGGCGGCGACGACGACGACGACGGGAAGAAGAGAAAAAATGGTCTGATGGCGGCCTGCCGCTCGCCTGCTGCAACGCGCCAGAGGCAGGCCAGGCCAGGAAGATTTGCGCATCTTTTTGGTGCATGCTCCCTGGCCTGCCTCGCTCGTTCTCCGCGCCTCGCACGCACCGCCTCTCCTCTTCTCGCAGCAGACGTACGTGTAGATACGGTAGAGAGATGGAGGCAGGCAGACGGCGTGCAAGAGTGCGATGCAGCTGCACAGGCCTTCGCTCGTCCATCGACGGCCGTCATCCTCGCTGGAAGGCAAGAGAAGACAAAGAACGGCGAGCCGCGCAACGAGCACAGATCAGTTTTCAGAAGAACCGCTCCGTCGCTCGTACTGCGTCGATCCGAACGGCGCGGCGGACTGTCCGGCTGGAACGTGTCAGGTCAGTCCAGGGCCTGCCAGGCAAGGAGAGGCGACACAGGCAGCAGCAGGTGAGGCAGAGCTGCAGGTGCGCTGCGCTGCAGCCAAATTGCGTGCTCGAGCTTGCTCGGCCAGCGGGCGTGGCCGCTTCCTCGATGGCCGTCGATTCCGAAATCGGCGCGGCCCGATGTCCGAGCTCAGCCGTACGAGACAACGGGCTCCCGATCCAGCTCACGTGGGTGGACTTGTCAGGTTTTTGCTCGAGCCGCCGCTGCGGGAAGAGTCGGTGCTCGAAGGAGAGGCCTTGCTAAGCTCTTCTTCGCGATCCCCTCACTACCGCTGCCTCGACCCGGATCACCTCCACCGCGACTCGCACCGCCTCTCCAGCTGCTCTGCATCCACCCTCAACCAGCATTACCGCCGAGGACGAAGTCGAGCTCCAAGGAACGAGCCAGAGCGAGGTTCGGCCCGCATCCTAGACTCCTCAACCACCGGCTCTCCCTCAGCCCCACATTGCAATCATGAGGAAGGCAAGAGTCTTTAGCCACGAGGTGGTCATGCCACGCATGGTGAGTCGCGCAACGGGCGTCTCTCAGATCCGCTGCCGCTTCACCCGCCTTCTGACCTCCTCTCTCCTTCCCCCCTTGTTGCCACTACGACAGTCCTGGTCCCCCAAGAACCTGTACAACCTGATCGCGCGGTCCACGGTTCCCTACCATGCATCACAGACCTCGTTCACCAAGACGGCGCTGACAATGTACCAGCAGCGCTGGCGATCCAAGCGCTTCCTCCGCGCCTATCACGGCGACTGGATCCCAGAGAAGCGCTTCAAGCGTTGGTTCCTCCCCACCGACCTGCCCCGCTTCCAGCCGCCGCAGGTCTCGACCGCATCGACCTCGGGCTCCTCGACCGGGCCCAAGATGGGCGGCGCGTTCGACCGCGCCATGCGCCTCCGGACATCCGTCAAGGGCAGCGGCGGACCCGGTCAGAACGGCACGCCGCAGATGGAAAAGATGCCCACCGCCTCGCTCTTCATGCGCGACGTCGAGCGGAGGTTGGACGTCGTCGTCTTCCGCTGCTGCTTTGCCAGGAGCGCATACGAGGCCAGGGCCCTCGTCGTCCAGGGCAAGGTCTCGCTCAACGGCAAGAAGTGCTCTGATCCCAACGTCCAGCTCAACCCGGGCGACCTGATCAGCATCGAGCCCGAGGCGGTCCCGATGCTCTCGAAGGAGTTGGAGAAGAAGGCGCTCAAGGCGCTCGCCGCAGAGGTCGCGACCGGAGAGGGAGCATCGGGTAGCCAGCCGGCAGAGGGTAGCGAGGCAGCAGAGGCGTCGGAGGCGTCGGAGGCCGCCGTCGAGCAGAGCAGCGGCGAGAGCGACAGCGCACCAGCTTCCACAGAAGCTGCCGAAGGCGAGGGCGAGGGCGAGGGCGACAAGAAGGCTGCTGCCGCCGCCGAATCTTCCGAGGCCGCCGACGCTGCCACCACCGACAAGGGCAAGGCAAGGCCGAAGACTCCCCAACCAAAAGTGCTGCCTCCGGGCGTTCGACCCTTCAACCTGCCGCCCTACGCTGCGCCCTTCCTCTTCATCCCGCCATACCTCGAGACGTCCTTCACCACCTGCTCGGCCATCTACATCCGCCACCCGACCATTGTGCCGCACCGGGACCGCGAGACGGGCGTGTGGAGCTTCCGCACCGACCTGCCGTCGCCCTACCCGGCGGGCGGCGAGCTCTACTCGATGGCCTGGGAGCTCTACGTCCGCAACTCGCCGCGCGTCCGCGGCCAGGCGAGGAGGATCAAGGTCGAGGGCCGCGTCGGCAGGAACGGCTTCGTCAGTGCTAGGGCGAGGGACCTCGACAGGAAGAGGGTGGCCCTTAGGAGAGGATGGGGAAGGACCAAGGAGGTTCGTGGGTGGAGGAAGACGATCGACGTGGCACACGTCAACGCCGCTCCTGCTACCACGACCCGGACCCGAGCCTAGACGACGACGACGAGGTCGGGCGGTCGGGCAGCGTCTGTCGCGCCCCGCAGTGGCTAGGAGGACGAGAGGGCCCGGCCAACTCTGTAATCTACGACGCGGATCAGAGAGCGGCATACAGATCCAACGACTCGACAACATCGACCGCCAGTCGAGCGTTCGGCGCAGCTTGTCACTCCCGGTCAGTCTGTGTGCGAAGATGACGGCGGTGGCGATGGCGGCGGCTGCGACGACGACGACGCGTCCCAGCGACCTCTCTTGCGACTGCGCCTGAGGCTCTCGGCCGCATCGATCCAAGCATCGAGCATACGCTGCGCGCGCTGGATCCTGAGACGCTCCAGCTCCGAGATGTGGACGAGGCCGGCGCGGGCTGCCCAGTCGTCGAAGTCGAGACGCCACCAGCGGATGTCTTCGAGCGGGGGCGGGTCGTGGCGGCCAAAGGCGTCGATCTCGTCGAGGATGTCGCGGATCCGCTCAAACAGGAGCAGCTCCTGCTCGTGCGCTATGGCGACGCCCTTGGCCAACGCGCGCTTGAGTGGCGGAGGATGCTCGACTGGCCAGGCTGGAAGTGGATCCGAGTGCAGTGAAGTGCTCGACCCGTCGTCGTCGTCGTCTTGAGGACTAGCGGAAGTGTGCATCTCTGCCCCTGTCTCGGCCCTTTGAACGATTCTCGGCCTCTCGTGCGGAGCGTGTTCGACGGCATGCGTTCGTGTGCGAGGCAAAGAGCTGGACAGGCTGCTCAGCTTCCTCGGCGGGCGAAGGGCCTGACTTCGACGGGGCTCGTCCGCTGCGAACCGCTCGAGCGACTGTCCGCTATCCATCTCGTGGATCCACCTGCTCAGCATAATGTGGTGGACTTCCTCTTCAGCCTCCACGTCATTCGAGGGCTGATGACGACGAGGATGCTCTTGGTCTGAGCGGCGGCTCGGTTCGTATGGCGATGACACCTGCTGCGCAGCTCGAGCTGCCGAGGGCATCTGCAAGATGCAGGGCCCTCCGACGAGGTAGAGGAGCAGCAGCCGTGAGAACGCCGTCCACATCCTCGTATCGTCAAGCGAGGCGTGGCGATGTATGGAGGCGCGATACGGAGGGCGGGGTGAGCAAGGAGGATGGAGCAAATGGAAAAGGCAGGGTGAGCAAGAAAGAGATCGAGGAGTTGAAGGAAGGAGGGGGCGTCTGCGGGTCGGGAAACAAGGGAAAGGAGAGCCGTCGGCCCACACCTCATTTCACTTGTTCGATCCGCCGGCATCGGCAGTGCGGGGCACGTCCTGACAGACCACCGGAAAGGACTCCCTGCCTGCTCCTTTCCCACGATCGAGTGTCGCAGCGGGGCGTCCCGATGCTTGAGCAAGGCTCAAACAAGACCACGAAGGCGCGGGGG